AGGGAAAACGACTGTAAGCTGGCTCTCCCTGAAGCTCTGCTCTTCTACCTCCCTTGCCCTGGCACATCTTTCTAATGCCAATGTTGTTGGTATTCAGCTATACCCAAAACTGAAGCATTTCCCCAGACCTACATTGCTTGGTGCAGCCGTTCTCTTGCTGAAAGGGAACCCACAGGGGGAAATCCATACACGGAAGATTGTCTTCGGACAAAACGCTGGCTCTATGGCTTGAAGAGCGGGATGAGCGCCGCCCTCTAGAGTCGGACACGACTGGACAAAAATTGTCAAGGGGAACCTTTACCTTTACATTGCTTGGTGCAGCCGTTCTCTTGCTGAAAGGGAACCCACATATTCAAATGTCTTTTCAGATCTGGTATAATCACAGCTGTGGATCCACAGCACCTCTGTGATGCAATGGAAACCCAACTCTTAGACGAGCTTGCTTTGCGACCCTTCTGCTTTTTCTGACCACTCCAGCGCTACCCAAAACCCCGAGGCTAGCATTCAAATCTACCGTATTTTTCGCTCCATAAGACGCACAGACTTTCCACCCCCCTGTTTTGTGGGGGAAAGTGTGTCTTATGGTGCGAAAAATACGGTAAGTTCTATGACAGGAGAATTGAGCAGGGAAATGAGAGACAAGCAAGAGAGTGGAGGACAGAATGGAGAAAAGAGAAGACCCCCAAAACCCCGAGGCTAGCATTCAAATCTAAGTTCTATGACAGGAGAATTGAGAAGGGAAGTGAGAGACAAGCAAGAGAGTAGAGGACAGAATGGAGAAAAGAGAAGACCTATGGAGGAGACAGAAGAAATAAACAAGATAGCACAGGAGGTAAGAAGAGATGTCTGATTTCCACATACACACACAACACACATCAATATTTTTCCAACATTTAGCAAAACAAGATAGCACAGGAGGTAAGAAGAGATGTCTGATTTACACACACACACACACACACACACACACACCAATATTTTTTTCCAACATTTAGCATGTTCCTAATTCCTAAATGTAAGAACATTTGTGAAAGCAAATACATGACGGGGAGGGGGTCATTTATTTTTAACTTCTTTTCATAAACGTGTTATGAGAAACAGATGCCTTTCCCCATTTAGGGGAGCACCTCTTAAATGAAGGTGTGAAGCATATCATCTAGTTTGACTCTGTGTCTCATCTATCTCAAGGCATCAAAACAGGACCCTCTGGTACAAAAAACATTATTTTATTGCCTGATGTCACCCTAAAAGCTGCACTTTTCAATAGAGTCAGTTTCCCCATTCAGCTACTAGTTACCAGATGTTGAGAAAATAAGAACAAATGTGAATACGTGCTGGAAGACATACAAACAAACACACATTTAATCATTATTCAGGTTGTGAGAATTGTGTGGGTAATTTTGAAAGCTAATGCTTGCATTTCTTTGCCGGGCACAGAAAACAGGTTTCATAAGCCGCTGGAATGCTATGTAGGGTTGTGATCAAGACAACTTCACATAGGGTTAGGCAGACTGTTTTACGAAGAATTCTCCAGGAAGACAGCGCTTAACCTCAGGTTGACTTTGAAGTTTATAAAAAGAACCATCACTTAAGTGAAGGCTGCAAAACTCAACAGAAAAAAATCAGATGGACAAGGGGATGCAGCCCTGTTAAACACAGAAGCAAACTGACTCATCAAATTATAAACTTCTCCTGCACTTTTCATGCTCACACACTGTGTTACTGGCAGGCCCTCTGGCTTTTGCTGCTGTGAAATACAGAGAAGAGCCTAAGTTGTCAATAGGCAAAAATAAAAAATAAAAAAATTATAGATTTTAAAAAGTGGAAAGGAACTTTTGGCGTCCAGGAAGACCCATTTTAAAAATATGATATTTTGGAATATTGAGGCCAAAAGGAAAATCAAAAACCTTTAAATAGGGAAGGGGGATTTGTTATAGAGTAACATCGGACATCATTGATCTCTGGGTATCCCAGCTGTTTCCAGACTACTGGTCAGTACCGGAAGGGAAAATCTTGGCAGAATAATTTCTGTATGTCACATAGGAGCCATTTTCAACAATAGTCTTGTTTTCCTTACGCAGGCCAAAATCAAACTGTTAGCCGCAACTAGAGCATGTCCAATGAATCAATGAAACTTACATAAGCATTGGCATACCACATTCTCGTCGATTCAGTTGGCCTATTTTACTTGGGGAAAAAAACAAATGGATTCCAACTACCATGTGTGTAATTTTGTCCTAAGAAACAATTATCGTTTCTTATAATTGAATCTGGATTTTTAGGAGATATTGTCTATAGGAACCTTGTTTAATCAATGAAGAATAAACAGAATGGATATCAAGTTATAGAGGACATGACAGATGGGGGAATCTGGAGTGATCCGAGTCATATTTAAAAGGCTCTTATCTTCAGTGTGGTCTACTTTATCTCACACTTGAGTGATCTTTTCATTCACAGGGGAGATCTTTCTTCTCCTACAAGAAAGAACTCCACAACATTTCAGTTGCTCCAGTTTCTGCCCCTTTTGATTACTAACACCCATTTCCCCACTTTTTGTCTCAGCTATTATACCATGGGCCATGCAGATTTGCCCCCTTTTTTTGTTTAGTTTCGTAAGTGGCATAGCGCTACAGCAATACATCAACCTAGTACAGATACTCCCTCATATCTGAAACAACAGTGAGTCTTTTAAGAGCATATTTTTAAAAATCGTGAGAAGAAGAAAATAGAGGAGAGGATTTCTCCACACTCCTTTCTACTGTCACAACCCACTGCATACATCAGTCCTAACTTCACATGTACATGTGTATGGAGTGTGAACTGGCAATGAATGACCAAGAATAGGATATTGGTGTTGTGCTAGAAAGCTAAAGAAAACTCTGAGGCATTGTGAAGCTACTCTGAAAGCAGGGAAATTCATTTATCAGGAAAGGAGCTGAAGACAAAATTGCTAATACTGTAATACTTTCAAATATGTATTTTTTTTGGGGGGGGGCGCCCACTCTCGTAGATTCGTGTACATTTTTCATCATGGCATTGAAATAACCAGATCAACAGCTATACTGCAGAGCTGGGAAAGGTACTGTCAGAACTACCAAAAGAGCTGAAATCAGGACTTCACTATCAGGAAAGTCTCCATCTGGTGCTTTTTTTTCCCTTAGCTTTTAAAAAAATTATGAGCAAGAGAGAAACATGATAAGATATTTGTGTTGTTTGCAATCAGACCCAGAGAGCTAAGAAAAAGACTACTGTGGAGCACAGTCTGAATGGTTTACATCAAACTAAAGGCTAAGGCAGTAAGTAAGACCATTACACATAGAAAACAAGTGTCTCTACTTCTGCATCCGTCTGGTGCTTTTGATCGCTTGCATTTCATGCCACTCAAAATGGTCATAATTCAGTTTGGTAACTAAAGTGCCCAACGGAGTACAGTGAGATCAAAACCCCTTGAACAAATAGCTGTGGGCAGAAGAAAGAGAATTCAAAACAGTTCCTGTGGTCTTCCTTCTTCCTCCGCAGGAAGGCAGTCCGAGAGAAGCATTCTGAGGTTTATTGTTTAAAGTCCCCGGAGAGGCCAACCGGTAACATCGGACCCATCAGCTACAGGCTGCCCCACTCTGCTGAGACGTTCCAATCGCCTTGGCATAATTACCTTTGTTGTCATCGCTAATGTTTTGTCGCTACATTAAAGTTCTCAGGAGGAGTTAGGATAGCCCCCAAGGGCTTCATAAACAGCTCTAAACCCCTGCAGCTAACCCCACCTAAGACAGCTTCTTCCAGTAGCACTATGGGATTACCTTTGTTGTCATCGCTAATGTTTTGCCGCTACATTAAAGGTCTCAGGAGGAGTTAGGATAGCCCCAAGGCTTCTAAGACAGCTTCTTCCAGTAGCACTACGGCTCTAATTTACATGTACATTAAAGCAGGCCGTATATCAAGATAAGTAAATGGATATCTGGAAATGTCCAAGGCGTAGAAAGCCCTAAGGTTTTACCCTAACGCAATGTTTTTCAAGTGATGTATCCAGAACGCTGACACCTCTCAGAGGCTCGTCACGCACCCATGACGTAGAGTGGCAAACAAGAACATCTGAATGAGATCTTATTTGCCATTGCGTCTTCTCCCTTCACCCTGAAATACACAGCCATGAAGGACCCCTGGAATTGAGTTTTATAGCACATTCTCTTTTAATCAGATAAGCCCTACCAAGAACATCTGCAGAATGGAAATGACGCAGAATAACGTGCCTACAAATAAATCGATAAAAGCCTTCGCAACATGAAGGGCTCAACCACAGTCTGGTTCATCTGGAAAAGAACGTCTAAAGCTAGAAATTGCATGCCAAGGGCCACATACTAAATTTAGGCATAGACATGCATGAAAACACTCACATACACACACAGACATAGACACACAAGTTTCAGCCCTGGAGGGACAAGCACACTGCTCCTTCAGGAACCACTATAAACAGTTTTGGTTAACACACATGCATCCTTGAGAGAAAGGCGAGGGGTGTGCACAACCCACAGTTTCAAAACATGGTCACTTAAGGTTGTGGCTCACTGTGGAGACAGTTCACTATTCTCCTTGCCCTCCTCTTAAAGTCTTCATGGCAGAGAGGGGTTATTGTTCCCTAAAGATGTATCTACATGACAGTTATACTGGCTTAGCCGCCATTTTCTAGAAACCCTAAGAATTCTAAGACAGCTGCTACTCAGTTCACAACTCGTTCTTTGGATACAGAAGACTTGGAAACAGTGGATTTATTAACTTCATTTTTGTAAATACAGATTTGGAATTGATCTGAAAGAAGAGATCTCCCCCCCCATGAAACCTGGCATTTGTAAACATTTTGGGAGGGAGGGATGGACGGATGGATGGACGGATGGACGGACGGATGGACGGACGGACGGACGGACGGACGGACGGACGGAAGGAAGGAAGGAAGGAAGGAAGGAAGGAAGGAAGAAGCCAATGACTAGAAGTGTCTGAAGCCATCTCACCTGAGCCACACCAGCTGTTGGAGTAGCAACTAATTTGGGCCCTGGTGCTAATTTCACAACATCAGTCAAGGGCACGTTTCTCTCCGCCACAAGCCCTGCAATGAAGATCACAGACTTGAGATCAATGAGCAGAAACAAGATGAGGGATGTGCCTGGACTCCTTGGCAAATTAATACATTGCATTGATCTCCCTTGGTCGGGTCAGCACTCAGAAGTGAAAGATAAAGGGTAAAGATCTTACATTCCAATGCACTTGAGCCCGAGCGAGTGGGGTCTCCGGGATCGAGTTTACGTCAGTCATTCAATTTGTCCCATGGAGGGCAAAGCCAGCCACAGAGTTGCAAGTTCAACAGTATCCATAATCATTGAGGAACGCCAATAAGGCAGCAAACAGATGAGAAAATATGGAGAAGTAATACATTCCAAGGACAAAGCATGGCGTGTTTTTTCTAAAAGGGGGGAGCTGGGAAGAGAAGAGATTAGCCACGAAGTAGGCGGCAAGAAGAAGAAGAAATGGAAACAGAGGCCTCGGGTCTGATCCAGTGCAGCTCTTACATTCTTACAAAATCCCACACAGGCTCCCAAGACTGGGATTCTTAAGAGGCTGGAATTTTTGCGAGGCACGTAGGCGGCTATAGTAGAAGTGGTTGGTTATGGCTGCAGAGACTCAGGGGGTTTTCATGGATAGCTGAGGCAATTTAGACACTCTTATGTACATGAATACATGCCCAGCAAAGTATAAACTGATCCTTCAACCCCTTTTCTCTTTGTTGGGCCTCAGTTCAACATCTCACAGTTACAGAGAGCATGTTACATATACATCAGGCTTGCTTTTTGAAACTTCTCTGCCTGCCTCATCCCACAGTTGTTGTTTTTTTAACGCAATGCCTCATGAAGAGTTTGGAAGACCATGAAAGCTCAGGCCACCTTTGCAACATTTCTATGCTCTAAATAAATTTGTTGCTGTTTAGTCGTTAAGTCGTGTCCGACTCTTCGTGACCCCATGGACCAGAGCACGCCAGGCCCTCCTGTCTTCCACTGCCTCCCAGAGTTTGGACAAATTCATGTTGGTCGCTTCGGTGTCACTGTCCAACCACCTCGTTCTTCCAGGCAGTCTGTCCGCCAAATCCAGTTCCTTCAATCTGTTCTTCACTTCCACTGTGTATTCATACGGGATTTGGTTTAGATTATACCCGACTAGCCCAGTGGTTTTTCCTACTTTCTTCAGTTTAATCTAAATAAATAGTATTGCTCAAATGTGCATTTTTCATTTTACTTCTGGACCACACAGTAATTTGGTTCTTTGTGTGGAGCAGGGTTGGTTTTCGTGTGGTTTTTTTAATTTGGCTTTTTTCACATGTTCATTTTACATGTACACAGCGGTGCTTACATAGAGAGACACGCATTCTTCCATGCACAAGCAAAGGAGGTGGCATGCAGATGAGGATTTACATACACCGTGGAGAAAAGGAGATAAGCGGGGCTGCAGAGGAGGAAAGGCTGGCACCTCCTCTCTATAAAGGCAGACTGAGAAAACAGAACAGTCCAAAGAGCTTTCACTGGGTCCACCTCAGATGGTCCGTGCTTCATCCAGCTATTGTCACAGGGGTGCTTATGATACATGTTGTGTTGAGACAGTGAAGTTGTAACAGGAGTAACTGATGGAAAGATTCAAGGTATAGGTGGAGAAGATTAGATTAATAGATTAATAATCTTAGAACTGTAGAGCTGGAAGGGACCCTATAGATCACTGAGTCCAGACACTGTCAAGAAAGCCCAGTGGGGAATTGAACTCCCAACCTCTGGCCCCACAGCCAAAGACCTAAAGCCGCGGAGCTATCCAGCAGTTCTATGTCTATCAACAGTCAGATGCAGTACGCTGATCTGACATACCGTTGCTGCTGAAAGCAACCACAGGGATGGGCTACTGGCTTCCTACTTTACTTTGGGCTTTTGGTGGGAAACAGTATGCACCATGAGAAAGATGCTTAATCTGATCTAGCAAAGCTGTTCTTCTGCAGCTTGTCAGATAAGCTCCCACTGCAGAGAATATAATGAGGAAAAGGAGAAGAAATGAAAAAGAAAACAAGCAAGAACACAAATTAAAGCCATAGTCTGGCTTGTGACAAGCACAGAATGCAGCTACTGCAAACCAAGTTTTGCACCCAAGTTGGCGTGTTCTGCTGTATGTATTAGAGAGGGTGTTTTGTGCTCCTGACAACTTTGCATGACAGCTGCCATGCAGACCTTCTCTACGGCCCCCAGGCTGGCTGGGCTGTTTACTTGTCGTCATGCATCGCCAGGGTCCTTCTGATCCAGCAGTGTGCCAATCCGGGTAGGAGCCCAGCCAGTCCTTCCCCACCTCCTCTGGCAGCCAACCACTCATTAGCTGCACAAGGAGAATCCCTGTCCCACCTCCTTGGCAGAGTGGTCAGCTGCCAGAGGAGGCAGGGATGGGAACCTGAGCTATTGCCTGGATTGGCACCCTAGCACAGTAGAAGGACCCCGGTGACACACAACAACAGGTGAGCAGCTCAGCTGGCCTGGGGGATGGGGAGAAGGTCCACACAGCAGCTGTAATACGAAGCGGTCAGGTGCATGAAGTGCCCATCTCTAGTATGTATTCGTGAGTCTTAATAGGCTCTTTGTCTGACTTACCATGGATTGCTCTGTAAGCAGATCCTAAACAGGCTGAATTAGCAGTGTCAATAGTGTAAACTGGAGCATTGAACACATCAGACAGGACCTGAGAAACATAAAAAAGATCCATGAACAACCAGACTGTGAGAAACAGGGGCAATTTTCTTTCATGGTCATGCCATTTAGACAGATGCTTGCCGCAACAGAAGACAATTACATTTGGCATGGAACATCCCATCATCACGTAGGTTTCTGTTCCTTTTTATGAATATCACACATATGGGCTGGGGCATTGTGACTAGTCATGCCCTCTAGCACATGGGACACATTGCATCCAGTTGCATTAACTGTTGCTTCAAAAGGCCTGAGCATTTGATTGCAGTCTCGACAACCAAGCTGTGGCCTAGTGCAGTTCCCTATTATAGTTGGAGGTGACCTTCTCTTGGTGTCACATCCCAGATCACAGAAGCCTCAGGCAATGACTTCGAGGCACGATGACATTTGCAGATGCAGGTCAGCCGGAGAAAGACGTAGCAAAGAGGACACCCTGTTTCCTTCCCCTCTCTGCCTTTCTCCAAGGCTGCTTTTAAAATTATGAAAATGCTGCTGGATCTCTGATAAATGCACACCCTCTTAAGGAACTATTAGCCTCAGAGCTGTGCTCAGACCAGTATTTAAGCAAAATCCATGTACCTTGATCTTTGATTGGGAACTCTCCTAGCTCCTAATGAAGTCGACCCAGTCCTGGCTACCTACAGAACCTATGTCTCCTAACCTGCTTTTCATTTCAGAGTAATTCCTGTTCAGGAGCAGCCCCCGCCAAGCCTTCACTCACTGCTTGGCAGTTCATGCCCAAGCTGGAATAGTAGATTTGCTAATTACAGATGCAAGAAGCCATACTTACTTGTAAGATTGCGTTGTTGTGAGATGCCCCGCCCGTTGCAAGGACTCTTGTTGTTGGCACTGCAAAGCAAGAAGAAGTGATCTTCAGTTGATCTTAGCACGCAAAAAATGGCTGGGTATTCAACAGGGGGCTAATTCTACACAACAAAGTGCTGACCTGCGGCTTGTCATGTTACAGAAGAACACAGGGAGCTGCTAGACTATGGTGGATCCAGCTAACCTGACGTTGTGAGCTGTGACCGGCAGCTACGGATGCCCAGGGTTTTTAGGCAGGATTCCTTCCCAGCCCCGACCTGGAGATCTTTGGAATTCTAGGAGGTCTCCCAGCCAAGTATTCAGAAGGCCAGCTCTACCAAGCTTGAGAAATCAGATGGGATCAATATGTTCACGGTGTTAGGCTGGCCATGCATATCGAAAATGGCAAAGCTACTGGAGCACTCATCCACAGGACAGAGAGGGGATCCAGGTGAATCAGATCTGAAAAAACAGTATGGCTTATGCTAGCACACAGGTGGGGTTTTCTGTCCAGCACAAAATGGGAAATTCTAGGCTTTGACTCCGGTTTCGCACTGGAGGAAGGCCTTATCTTGTCCCAACACCCATTGCACTCTGCCCTCTGAGGGTCAGCACAACTGCATGCTCACTCCTCAGTCTAATATGAAAACAAATCCATTTACAATGTTAACAAATCAGCCACAAATGAAATCTGGGCACACATGAAAGGTATAATAATGAAATCTGGCCCAGGTACTGAGCCTTTCATAAAGGAAGGGGACGAAGGTTCATGCCGAGGTGGACAGAATTCTCCTCAAACTTTGTGTTATCCCAATTTATGGGAGAACTGTAGGACACGCAGCCCGCTGAACACTGTTTGCATGGTATTTCTAAGCCAAAACGTGCTTTACTCAGGTGCAGGCCTTCATACAGCAGCCATGAGTTCTGCAGAGAGAAGACTTCATTCCAATAAATTTAATCAGATCCTCCTCTTTAGAGGATATTCAGCGATGCACAAATTGGGTTTTAAAAGCCATTAAGATCTCTGTCAATGTCAGTAAACAAATAAACCACACCGCCAAGCAATTCCTTGGAGAAAACCAGTTTCAATTATACCTGTGCGCAGTGACAGAACCCTGCCAATATTTTCGGAAACATGTCACAGAAGCCAGCGAAAGATAACCGCTAAAGCCACCAGGTTTAGAAAACAAAGCAAGCCACAAAACAAAAGATGTCATACAATTCTGAAATCCTTATGGTTGGTCCACTGCTTCTCTTTATTTTCTATATATCATAACTTAGCAAGACAGTAACAAATGACACAGCATTAAAGCAGACATGTAGTTGAGATTCTACTTGTCGAAGGGTCAAATTACACATTAAAGGAAGCGCACATTTGCTGTTATTTCGTTTTTCCTCCAAGCATATAGTATCTTCAACATGATGTTCCTGTGCATCGGGAGACAAAAATGAAGCCCACGTCTCCCTTCCAATGAGGAATCACAAAACAAAAGAAAGCTAATTTGCAACATGCAATGAGAGAAAAGTTCCCCTTATGATAAAAGGACATATTTTACCTCTCAAGGGCGCTCTATATTTAATGATGTGCTAATTGTATCATCTAGTTTGACCCTACACTACTTTAATCTCCATCTATCATCACATTATATAGTTAAAAACACAACATACGTCCTTAGAACAAGGTACAGTACTTCTAGTTCACTTGGCTTGGAGGGAGCGACTTTGACATTTTGAGTCAACATTCTCAGGTGATAAGAGAGACGGTGACGGAAGTGATATATAAAACTCTCTGTAGAGAAGAGATCCATGATGAAGGGGTAATCTCTTGAGGAATCCAGAAAGCTTTTTTCCCCCTATTTATATCCTTTGGGTTGGCCACACATTAATAAACCACAGGAGTAAAACACAATTATCTGGTGGCAGACATTTTGATACAGTGATTAGAATGCTCAAGATTTTGGTTAAAATCTCTTAGATGTCTATGATGCTCACTGAGAAATCATGAGTCAATCACACTGTCCTCATCTTACGGTTGTGATGAAGAGCCATACAAGCTGCCTTGAGCTTACCGGAGGAAATGTGTGAATGAATAAATAAAATACAAAGGAATCCATGAACATTATTTTGTTTCTTCATACACAAGACCAAAAAAGCATATGGCTGGACTCTATGAACAAAAATGTGGACAACAAACGCAACATTATCCATTCTCAAAAAGACTCCCTTGTCAAGAAATGGCTAAGACCTTTCATTTCCAGTACAAAATGAGACAAGGAACGGGAAGAAGGGAATCCACCAGAGTTGCCATAATTTGTGCAGAACTACTTACCTTTTCTGTTTGTTAAACAAAACAAAACACACACACATAGAAACTACAGAAGGGCAGATGGATCGATCAACAAGATGCAAAAACTCCTCCTGAGTTTTTCAATGCAACGAAGCACAGTTATTGTTATTTTTTTTACCATTTATATAACCTGCACACACAAAAAGTTCTTACAAACACAAATATTCTGGTGGGGAGCACCAAGAAATACCCTTCCTGCAAGTGAGGAGAAAAACCTGTAGCATCTCATTCTCCTATACAAGAATGGGGAAGTGAGGATGTACATGATTGCTGTACCATTAGTATTAACCTGCCAATTTTGCCTGGGGTGAGAATTCTAAACATGGTACGTTCTGTTTGTTCAACAAAAAGGCAAATAAGCCTAAGCAGCCCTTTAAAGAATGACTGTACTCTCTTATCCACCTGCTTATGTAGATTGGGAGCTGATATATGGATACCTTAACAAGAAAGCGCCAGGTGGTACCCATCTATTTGCTGGACCGGGCTCCCACAAACGGGGTGGCAGTGTTGCCTAGCAACAGGAAGATACTTAAGGCTTGAAATTTAGTTGATAGAAATGCAGCAGCTCGAAGAGAAACAAAGCCACGGTCTAATCTAAGCTTTATCATCTTAACCGAAGGGAGGAAAGAAGGGGGAGGAAGGAGACATTGCCCGTACGATTAGGAAATTTTCAGAAAGCACAATTAATTGGCAAAACAATACAAAACTATTGGCAAGCAAACCACTAGATGCACTTGATTAAGCTAAAGGTTGATGATGAAAAGACGCTACAGAATAATAGTAGCCTTAGGAACCCATGGTTTATGTTGGTGAGGAAGAGTCTTGGGTAGCGCTGCCTGTCAGATGCTTTGCTTCTGTCAGGAAGATACAAGCTGGCCTTAAAAGCGATAAAAAGAGAGCTGAGCTGGATCAGACCAAAGGCTTATCTCATCCAGAAGCCTGCTCCGACCATGGACAAACAGATGCCGATGGCAAGCCTCGAGCAAGACTCAAGGAAAACAGCACCCTGCATAGGCATGGCGTTGACTCCCTCCCTCCTACTTGGTCTTAGCTCTCAAGCTAGCAATCTTAAAGCAATAGATTTACCCATGACTGCTAGCTTATATCAGAGGCATTTCTGTATATCTATGTATTGTATATCAGCTGCTACGTAGGGAAAACAAGCAGGAAGGGGCTACTAGCACTAGTTGCCCATTGTAGGAAATGAAGTGTTAAGACATTTGGCAAGATACAGTAATGGTCTTTCAAAGTTCTTACTCCTGGCCTGTCTTGCAGAGATTCTTGTAAAGATTATTTCGATCACTTAGGTCTTTGAACTCCTGGTGAATTTTGAACCACGACTTGGTTGGTCAGCCTTAAAGGAGGGACGTTTAGCCAGCAGTCTACCTGATCACCAGGTGCACACATTCAAAACTCAAGAGACTGCCAATGGACTCATGGTGATCACTGCGATTCTACCTGCCCATCCTATAGATCTTGCTAGCTGCAACACCTGAAAACCTGGTGGACGCAGGTGGGTCAAGCTGACCACTTCCCTCTTCGCTCAACCAGTCACAGAAGCTAAGGTCACTTTGTCCATCCAGAATCAAACCCTGGATGAAGCAGCACCTCTCAGCCACCAACTGAGAAGATTAAATGTTGTGCCCACAGGCAGACATGAGAATGACTTCCTTGATTGCAGAAATATAATGCAAGAAACCATTCTGCATAAGTCTGAGCTTTTTATGATTTTTTTTTTTTACACAGAAATTTGCCACTGCTTTAAGAGGCAGAAGGATTTTACTCTGAGTTTGGATTCAGAAGCATTTGACCAAATCAAGTGGGGAGTGTATACATGGGAACAACGTGAAATATCCTTCGCTTTCAGTATGTCCTATAAATCTTTGGTTTTAATTATCACGAAATGTCACAAAATTCTACTGCACTATATTCAACAACAAAAGCATGATGAGGAAGTGAACGGCACTGAAACCACCTTTGAATGACTTGAGACCAAATTATACTCCCTCCAGGACATTCACATCACCCTTTGGAGGACAAATCAATCGCAGAATGGCAATGAAGGATGATGAGAGAGATGACAACCGCAGCATTAATCTAAAGAGACCCACCCTATTCATTCATTCAGCTAGAGAACATCCAATGTGTTAATTCCACTGCACTCTTTCATGTTCCTTTCGAATCTCATTAAACAGTTCAATTTCCAGTGGGCAGGTATAACCTGGAGGGCTAGCAAAGGACAGTTCTTCAGGGCTATCCAAAGGTAAAGTACATCACAGATCTTGAAAAGAAAATTAAAAACTAACCCAGAATTCACAAAGAGCTGCTGAACTTTCCTGATGAAGAGAGGGAAAGACATGCTGGAATTGTGGATGGGTGTTTTTTTTTTACTCTAAACAGGGAAGAAATTTGGGGTCATGGACTGCATGCAAGCCGTTTTTATGTGCCCCAAATGGTTATTTCCAACCTTCGGGAGCATCTGGTTTCACATACAGCCACAGCCTTCTCAAGGAACTGCAACCATCCCAAATCAAAACCAGGAACAGATGTCTGGCCACTTCTCGTTTTATTTTATTTAGATTTAAAAATATTTCAGGGACATTTCTGGGCTAGGCGTGGCCCATTACAGACACTGGGGATGCCCACTTGTAGCCTGAGGGGGGACGGCCAACTGAAGGAAAGAGAAGTCAGAGCTTTG